CATGAGGTCAGGAGTTTGAGACCAGCCTAGCCAATATATGGTGAAACCCTGTCTCTACTAAAAATACGAAAATTAGCAGGGCATGGTGGTGTGTGCCGGTAGTCCCAGCTACTCGGGAGGCTGAGGCAGGAGAATTGCTTGAACCTGGGAGGCGGAGGTTGCAGTGAACCGAGATTGCACCACTGTATTCCAGCCTAGGTGACAGAGTGAGACTCCATCTCAAAAAAAAAGAAAAAAGAAACAGTGCCTAGTAGACAGCCAGTCAATAATTGTCAAATGAATGAACTGCAGACCAAGACTAATGTTAGTAACTAAGGTTGGTTTTGCACCATGTTCCAACACAGCAACACTCTGAGTTAGTCAAGCTTGTGTAATCAGGTTTTCTGACTTTTTTTTGCAGTACCATTGACTGAAAAATAAAGATGGATGAACAGTAGCTAGTGGCCAGAAGATGCTGTTTGGTAAGTTAACATAGAAAAGAGGCTGAGTGTGGCGGCTCACACCTGTAATCCCAGCACTTTGGGAGGCCAAGGTGGGCGGATCACCTGAAGTCAGGAGTTTGAGACCATCCTGGCTAACATAGTAAAACCCCGTCCCTACTAAAAATACAAAAATTAGCCAGGTGTAGTGGCATGCACCTGTAGTCCCAGCTACTTGGGAGGCTAAGGCAGGAGATTCGCTTGAACCCAGGAAGTGGAGGTTGCAGTGAGTTGACATCATGCCACTGCACTCCAGCCTAAATGACAGAGTGAGTCTTCGTCTCAAAAAAAAAAAAAATCTTGGGTGGTGAGCAAGAACAGACTAACAAAGAAAATTGTTAAAGGTGAGGTTTTTTCTTTTTGAGATAGAGTCTAGCTCTGTTGCCCAGAGTGAAAAAAAAAAAAAAAAAAAAAAAAAAAAGAACACCCAAAACCAAAAAACAAACAAACATGGAAAAGAGCTCTCTCTTCCCTGGGAGGAGGAAAAGTGGCCTAAGACATAGTTAAATCAAAAAGCAAGTCATAGAACAGCACATGTTCAGTACTCCTTTATCACCCAGATAAATATGAGAAAAACACATGAGAAAAATCAATATACTGCTCTAGATATGTGTATATATTTACAAAAGCAGACATGAGAATCTAGAAGGGTATGTATCAAACTAATAACAGTGGCTAATTCTGGGAGGCAGCTGGGGAAAAGTGAGTGGTCAAAGGGAACTACAGCATTAATTGTGATGCTTGCATATTTGCCCCAATAATGTTTCACATTTAATATCCAAAATGTTCTTTTTCTCATAGATACCAAATATAATAATGCAAATAAGGTATGGGGAAGTATGTATATTATATAGAGACAATATATAAGTAAAATGCACTAAAGAAATAAGCATATATACCCAAAACAAGCAAAGGGTGGGCCACGTCTAAATTGGCCCAGCGCAGTGGCTCAGGCCTGTAATCCCAGCACTTTGGGAGGCTGAGGCAAGAGGATAGCTTGAGCCCAGGGTTTCAAGAATGTAGCAAGACCCACCTCTACTTT